GAGTAAGGCAACGCAACGCAGAGAAAGAAAGGTCATGTCCATGCAGGTTTGTTGTATTGGTGGTAGAAGTAGGAGTGGGTAGTAGGTAGGTCGGTAAGTAGTTAAGGCGTATATATGGTGCCAAGATGAGGGTGATGTCAGGTTTGGTTTCGTGGAGGAAGATGAATGGATGGTTGAATAGGATGGAGCAGAACTTTGGTATCACTTATCACTAGTTGCGGACGAGGATTAGTTTTCGAGGTGATTTGGGGGTGGAGAGGTTTTTCTTGTCAAGAAGAATATACGTACCAGGAAATAATCAGCAACAGGCTTCTTTGCAGGCATACCTCTTGTATCCTGCGCGGCGGCCTCAAAGACTCGATACCGTCGACCGGGGCTTCGGGTCACGGCCGCCGCACCGGCCGCACCGCCGGTGCTTCGACCGTAGTCGCCGTTGCTGCGGGCGACCGTGCCCCCGTTGCTGGCGTCCTCGCCGAGTTCCAGGATGGAGGCGACGTTGCCGCAGCGGTAGCAGTAGTTGGGGGCGGACCAGACGGTGACGATGCCGCCGTCGAACATCTCCTTGTACCCTTCCATGACGAGCTGGTGGGCGCGCGCGATCAGCGACAGGTCGTTCTTGTAGTTGAAGTGTTTCACAATGTCGCCCCCGAACAGGAACCCCGCGCCGCGCGGGCTGAGGCCCCAGCCGTCGATCTCGTCCGGGTCCGACCAGAGCAGGTCGCACATCGCGCCTTCGTGCGGCACTTCTTGTTTGCGGTCGATCAGTCGGATCTTATCCACGCTGTCGATGAGTGGGGAGAGACCCCCGTGGACGCAGAGGACGGCCCCCGTGCCGGTGGCGTAGCTGCCGGAGGAGTCCCCGGTGGCGCCGGTGCCTGCCCACCCGGATCGCAGGGGGGGCATCGAGGAGGAGGCTGTGGTCTGGGGGGTGGACGACGTGGCGGATTTGTCTTGGGAGAGGGAGGGGAGGAGGGGCGAGTCGGTGCGCGGCTGTTTGGGTCGGTAGCTGCTCATCGTCACCTCGCCGCGCGAGTTCAGCACCTCAGTTTCCAGCTCGCTGTCGTCCAGCGACATTGTCGACGACGTGGTCTCCAGCGCGGGGCCTGTGGGCTCCAAGCCTGAGCTGGCGCCCAGCACCAGCGCCCCTAGCGCCAGGTAGTCGAAGACCTCGCAGCAGTACCGCCAGACATTGGCGCTGCCGTATTTCCGGATGCACTCGTCGTAGAAACCGTAGACCGTCGTGATCTGGCGCGACTCGTGGTTGCCGCGGATCAGCGTGATGCGGTCGGGATAGCGGACTTTGAGGCAGAGGAGGAGCAGGAATGATTCGAGCGAGTAGAACCCGCGGTCGACGAAGTCACCCATGAAGAGGTAGTTGGTGTCGGGCACATCGCCGCCCACGCGAAAGAGCTCCATCAGGTCGTGGAACTGTCCATGGATGTCGCCACAGATGGTGACGGGCGCGTCCACGCACACCACATTGCCTTCTTCGATGAGGAGTTCCCGCGCTTTGTAGCAGAGTTCGCGAACTTGAGACTCGGGGATCAGACGGCAAGCGCGTAGTTGCGCGATCGCTCTGCGCAATAGATGGAGGATTAAGTCAGCGCTTTAACCTTTCTGTTTATTTGTTTTTCCTTTTCTTTTTTTTTTGGCTGCGCAAACTGGGATATGCACGGCCGGAATTTTATCGAAGAAAAAACGAGAGAATAGAATGTATGCAATACCTGTCTAAGTCACTCATGGTGTGACAGTGTTTCAAGAATGAGGCTCACTGGGGTCGGAGGAAGGAAGCTGGAGGAGGAGGGGTGGGTCCGAAAAATGGAGGACCGGTTTCACTTCTGGTTCAAGCCGCAAAAGCCCAGTGATAAATAGAAAAAAACGGCTAAGTGTAGAGAAAATGAACGCTCATCTTTTCGTCTAAAGGCGCTGGAGATAAATAGTAAGACGAGAGGAGGAAGGTGGGAGGGAGAAAGGGCTGGGAGGGGTTGAGGGAGATGGAAGGCGGATGATGGTGATGGTGATGATGAGGTCTGCTCAGCTGCTCGGAACTCCTGCTGATTGTAGCTTGACTGGTTGTTTGCCAATCACGGGGTTTGCAGATAAGATTAGATCTGATCGTTCAGCTCCGGGCGAATTCTTCCATTTCCGAAGTTTCCCTTCCCGAATTAAGAAACCTTACGATGATTCAAGCTTCCCCATAAACCCTCCCCCCCCATCCCCCCCCCTCCCCCTCTTCCCCAGTCCTGCTGAGTTGCCCGTGCGGTCTCGCGCTTGATTTGCTTTTTTTGAGGGGCAATGCCGCTCTTTAGATCCATTCTAGTATCCCTCCATTGAGTCAATTTCTTTCCAATTGCTGTCAGGTATGTGTTTCACGTCTCTGCCTGAGGTGCTCTGCTTCAATCTCACCCACTAACGCAATGCCCCCCCCGCCCACAGTCAAAGTTCTAGTCACAGTCTGCAGCCCTATCCACTCTCACTGCTTGAGCACCCGCCAATTGCATAATACAGCACTCGACAATGCCGCCTCATCTCCATCCTCGCTCGCGGTCGACGAGCTCTCTCTTCGCTGCCACCCTCCTCGCATCCCTCTTCGTCGTTGGCCTTCCGCATGTGTTCCCCTGTCCTGCCCCCCGTCGTACCCTCGCCGACTCCGAGATGACCGTCAATGCCGACGGGCAACAGGTTCCGCGCGTCCGACGAAGGAGGCGCAAGGATGCGGACCCCTTTGGCCCCGAGGACAGAGTCCTTTCTCAATCACCCATGGCTAGCGACGAAGACGTTTCCACGTTCCTCCAATTAGAAGCAGAAGCTGCCGAGCTGTCGCAGGCGGGCCATCAATGCCCCGTACCGAAACCCAAGGGAATCTTGGGTGATTTACTGGGATTTACGAATCGCGGGGAGACACCATCACAACCCCCACCGACGAGAGAAGCTCGGTGACTGCAACGTTTATTACAAGGAAATCTATGAAGCATCTTGGGAGGGAGGGAAACGTGGCGTGTACTGTTGAAATTGGAATGGCCAACCGAAGCAATATTGTTGGCTTCGCTGGGGGAAGGCTTTGGATTGGGGGTTTGATGCCTCTCCAAATCAGCCGCTCTAACGGCAGTTATATACCCATCTTTGTATCTATAGTGTACTTACAGCCATGATTTGTGTAACTACATAGGATCACTTTTGACATTCAATATGAACATGAACAATTTACACTCAATTGGACGTTGCTGCTCGTCCTGTTAACGAGCCTGTTAAGTTGGAGAGCAGGCGGGCGCGGCCGGGTTCTGTGTGGTAAGTACCACTAAGCCCAAAAAGGACAGGTATGATTGGCTCCGCTCCCGCTCCGGCTGCGCGCCCGGCCTACTAAGGCCACATGCGTCGCAAGCTCACCACAAGCATTGGCAATGCAAACCTGCGACAACATCCAGAATGGATTGGATGCGCTTCTTCAAGGATCTGTGTCTGAATCCCAGACACACAGTATGGCTCGCACCACTTCTGGTATTAGGCGACGCCTTCCTGTGCACCCTAATCATTTGGAAGATCCCTTGTATGTTTCTGCTTAGTACTTGCTTGCATGGACATCCCCGCAGCTAACCTTCTCTCGCGCTGTCCACGCCAGATACTGAGATCGATTGGTCTACGTACATGCAGCAGATAGCCCTCTATCTTGCCGGCGAGCGCGACTACACCCGGATCAAAGGCTCCACGGGTCCGCTCGTCTACCCCGCCGCCCATGTCTACAGTTACAGCTTCCTCTACCACCTCACGGACGAAGGTCGGGACATTTTCTTCGGCCAGGTCCTGTTCGCGGCGCTGTACCTAGTGACCCTCGTCGTCGTGCTGGCTTGCTACAGGCAGTCCGGTGCGCCGCCGTATCTGTTGCCGCTCCTCGTCCTCTCCAAGCGGCTGCACAGCATCTTCGTCCTCCGGCTCTTCAATGATGGGCTGGCGGCCTTGGCCATGTGGTTCGCTGTCTGGTTGTTCCAGAATCGGAAGTGGACGGCGGCCGTCGCCGTTTGGTCGGTCGGGGTGGGCATCAAGATGACCTTGTTACTTCTGGCCCCGGCCGTTGCAGTGATTACGGTCCTGAGTTTGTCCCTCGGGCCTAGCATCAGGCTCGGTGTGGTGGCATTGCTAATCCAGGTATGTGTCCTACTGCCAATCCGACATCGGGTTTCATCCTGCGGGTGCAATGTTATAAGAGGCGCAATGCTAAGAGAGAATACAGGTTTTGTTGGCGATTCCGTTCCTACAAGAAAACCCAGCAGGATATGTTGCGCGAGCTTTCGAGCTGACCAGGCAGTTTATGTTTAAATGGACGGTCAATTGGCGATTTGTGGGTGAGGAACTGTTCCTATCCAGAAGGTTCTCCCTGACATTGCTTGCTATCCATTTTGTCTTGCTGGTGCTATTTGTTGCCTTAGGCTGGCTCAAACCGGTCAGTTCTCGCCTGCCGGAGTTCATCCAGAACCTGCTCACGGGTCGACACCGCCCCGTCCCACTGTCCAGATCGTATATCATGGCCGCGTTGCTGTCATCGCTTGCGATTGGTCTATTGTGTGCAAGGTCGCTCCATTACCAGTTCTTCGCCTATCTCTCCTGGGCAACGCCGTTCCTTCTCTGGCAAGCAGACCTCCACCCCGTTCTGCTGTACGCCGTTTGGGCAGCTCAGGAATGGTCGTGGAACACATACCCAAGCACCAACACGAGTTCTATCGTTGTCGTCCTCTCCCTTGCGATTCAAGTCTTTGGTGTTCTCGCGAATGGCAGCAACGCCTTCGCCGCTACGCATGCGAAGCAAGGCAGAAAGGAGCATCTCCAATGAATGATTGGATCCGAAGAGTTGTGAGAGCCCGGTTATAGTGCGCAGGTGCCAGGGATGTCGTAAAGTCTCCGGAGAAGCCGGTTCAGATCAACGCTCGTCCGCCAAACTGCGACTAGAGCGATAGCGCATCAAGGGTCTTCAAGCGTTGAGTCTATTCCCAATGGAAAGAGCAGCATCACGCATCAGACTCGTCGTCCGAAGGCGGCAGTTTACCAACATTAGACTCCTCCTCAGATTCCTCGTCGTCTGAAGCGGCAACAACCTGCTTGGTGAATTCCTTGGGCCTGCCACAGCATTAATAGTAATTCAAAGCACTCTCCATGAGGGTAAACCAACCAGAATGGAGCCTTGCGCCATGCCTTCTCGTCCCGGACGATGTTGATAATCTCGCCCTTCAGTTTGTTGTCGCGGCCCTCAAGAGCATTGGTGTCGATCACCACGTAAGATCCACGCTTGATCCAGATGGTCGAACGGAATCGCGAAGGCAGTTCGACCAGGGCCGACTCCTTGGATGGCGTCTCAACCAGGTAGACGTTGTTTCCGGTAGCTTTGATGACCCGCGTAATCAAGTGTCCCTGGGCAAGCTCATCCGGCGGGACCATAGTCTCTTCCGCCGTGGCGAGTACCTTGCGCCGAGGAGGGCCCATATCGATCAATTGGTGCTGTAACCGCGAAGCGTAATCGGGCGGAAATTTTTGGATAATGAATAGAATGCAGGTGGCTCTGAACGGTCAGACAGGTGACAATTATCCGGGATGGGGAATCGGAGTGGATGACGGAAGCTCTGATGGAACCTTAGGTAGAGATTTTTTTTTTCCGAGTTGAGGAAATTCCCCAGTGCGGAGGGGGAAGTGGGCCTTGCCCGATCCGGTAATTGACTGTTTTCCCCGGAATGCACAATAATGCAGCCTGCCAGCTGCCTGAGTGCTATTGAACTGGATCGATTCCCTTTCGCTTTCCGCTTTAAATCCAACTTGGCGCCGCTTTTTGCTCACTGAGCGGCCCGGAGCGTGGGGGGAGCCCAGAAGTGCGTGTCCTGAGCAATCCCTGCTCCGGGAGTACTCTGGGTACAACATGCTGGTCATATGACCCAGCTATACTGTGCACGACTAAAGTCATGTCATTGTTTTTTTTTTAGCATACTTTAAGTTGGTATGCTGAAGTCCAAGTCATACAGGATCGATTTCCCTCATAATATCTCCCGGACTACCGTAATCGCATGCCCTCAACCAGAAAAATACAGTATGTGATTGTTGTTTTTCTCTCTCACTTTAGCACTATGTACAAAGTAGCTCAGGTACAGTACAATATGTGTAAACTGAGATGATTGCAGGGGCAGTCAGTGATGATAGGAATCGTAAGGGCAGTGCACGACAGCAATGCTAAATGACATACATAAGCATGGCGTGAACCACTACGCAACCACGTACTAACTTAGAAGGAGCTGCGTCTGACATTAGTAGTAGCAGTGCTGAGCTCATGGCGATGGCTCGTAGTAGGGCTTGACTTGCAGCTACCGAAGGGTCGGACCTGGGCCGACACGATGTCAAACCAGCGCCGTAACCGAGCAACCTCTGCCTCCTCCGCAGACATCTCGGCCTCTTCTCCCTGAACCTTGATATCGTCCTTGCACTGTTGCACCTGTTCATCTATCTCGTCCTTGCACTGTTGTGCTTGCTCTTGTATCTCCTTCACACACTCATTGGCTGTCATGCGGACCTCGGCATTACATTCCTCGACCTGCTCGCGGAACTCGGTCTCGTGCATTTGGCAGGCATCGAAGACCTGGTCCACCCCCTTGCTCACCATGTTCTCGAAGATCGTCTGGATGTTGTCCGACTGGAAGTGGGCCGCAATCGCCCGGTCGATGTATTCTTGGACATTGGGATCGATCCGCTCTTTCTCGGATTGGGGTGACAGGTTGCTCTCTACAGGTGCAGGGGTAGTCCGCTGACAGCGGCATCCCAGGCGAGTCAATAAGTGGCGGATGAGATTATCGGAAGCCCCCTGGAGCAGATTCTCAATACGTGCAAGGGTATCGTGTTCTATGCGGCCAAGCGATGAAGCACGCGTAAAGTGGGTTGGCTGGATTGAGGCCGATAATGGGGATGGAATACTCGGTGTATTGGGTTCGGTGGAACAACACGAAGGTTCTGGAGATGTAAGAACACGTCTTGTTCGTCTATCATCCTCGGGTGGTATTGATGAGTGGTCTATATAGAATTAATCAACTACTGAGGGAAAGTGGGAAGTACTCGAGACAACGATATAATTAGAATACCTCGGCGACGTTTTCCACCCACGTGCACTCCTTTTAAGTGGTGTTTGTATGAGGGTAGGTCCTCTCCCTTCTTCGCCTGTTTGGGCTCGGTTTCCTCCAAGTATGGGGGAGGATCAAGCATCTTCCCAAAGACATGGCCATCTCGCTCAATTCTGCCTTTGCGAGCATGGTTGAAAACCTTCGGCTGGAGTCCTTCTTTTAGTGTGAAGAAAAAAGTCTTGAGCCGGTCGAGTTCACCGTGGTTGAATTGTCGCTGGGTAAAGTGTATATAGAGTGAACTAGATTTGCAGATCTTTTCAAACGCGGCGAGATTGGAGTCTTCTTGATCCGGGGGCTGGATGAGAGGCGGACCAGCAACAGTACCCATTTCATGCAGCTGAAGTGTCAGTGTTACGACTGTCGAGATGCACTGCGTCTGGGCTGGGAGTTCCGCCAAAAAGGATTCCGGGAAAAGCGTTTCGGTGGTGGGCTGTACGACCTTGTACCTTTCGACTGCGCTTGGGGGGATATTCAATGAGAATTGTTCTAGTTTGCCTTTCGAGTTAGCTAATAAGTTTGCTTTGAAATTGAGTGATATGGTGCCTTGATTAGCTTCTCCATCGTAGTCAATGTAAAGCTTAGCCAAACAAGGATTATCGCCCTGAGGCAAAGAAACAAGGACTTGTTTCTTCAAGGCCCAGGAGGGCTTTGGAAATGCTGTAGTCATTTCGGTGTTGTAAGATAAGCTAGATATAAGAAAAACCCCTCGATGATGAATCGAGTAGCCCTCCCACCCGGGCTTTTGAGTAATGATAAGCAGCCCTGACTTGGGTCATAGAAAGAATCAATAATGATGACAAGATAGTAAAGTGGTGAAAGCTCTTGCGGCCTGGTCACGAGTACGTGCCCAATCCAAAGTCAACAAGTGAAATTGAAAAGTCCTATGAAAACACAGGAATGGCAGGACGGCGGCGAGGACAGCAAGAGCAGACACTGCCTTTACGTGAGCATGGAATCGCGATCAGCGATCGGAGAGTGAAGCCGGTGACCGTAACGGCCAGCGAGAGGGGGGAAAGAGGAGAGAGGAGAGAGGAGAGAGGAGAGAAGAGGAGTAGTTAGGCCCGGGCGGGGGGCTGGAGATTGGCGACGAGCCCGGAACCGGATTTACGTTTCTCCCCGCGTCGAGACAAATTCTCGGCCCACCGTATTTGGCTGTTCTTCTGCAGAGCCTGAAGATTTGTACCTACTGGTGTTACCGCATCCACTATGAAAATACTCAGTAGGTGTTGTCAAAAGCAACAGTCCTCTAGATCTTGGGGATCCGTCAAGGTTCCCATATATCCTCTGGTTTGCATTCTGAATGGTTTCTAGAGGTTTGACCACCTACTTGCCATTTATTGCCCGGTGGTTTGTACAAGTACCACAGATCTAGATGAGCGTTAGTTGCGCACGCTATAGAGAGCCTGTTCTAGTCACGTGAATCATCGCGGTGAGCGAGCCAGAGCAATCCAGGTGCGTGCTCCATGAGCAATCCGTGAGTGTCCGTGCTGCCCTTATAAAAGCGGCCATTCAACTACCCCCTCCATCAATGCATGAATGCGCTGTCAATTCGAATACGTGGGTGTGCATTCCCGGCGCATTTTATTGGTATCGATAGTACTCAACCCACTCTCCGTCATCGCAACATGACGAGCCATGCCCAGACTTCCATGCAGAGATAAGAAGAACCTTGGTGCCAGCAGGGTGCAATCCACAAAGTCGAGCCAAGACCAGCGTGATACTGCTGAATGTGCCACTCGATAGAAAGGCTGATCTGACCGACTCCGCATTGCTTCTGGGCCACGTCTTCTGGCCCGCGCCTTCTGGGGATCGCTGAACGTGCGAAGGGAACATGTCATGTCCACGTACTTGTGTGAGCCTGATTGGCCCTCGGGATTTGAATTCCTATACGACTTTAGCCGATGGACTACGATTTATCAGCTGGCGGGGCCCTGGAAGAATTAGTCAGTCCATCGCCGTTGCTACAAAAGACGACCGGGTGGACGACCGGGCGGACGGCCAAGGAGTACGATCGATCAAAACGTGTTTGTGATCCAGCCAAGTATAGAGCTCCGGCCTAGCGTGCCCTTACTCTTCCGAACTCTGCAACATGTCAGCCTCGGTATTTGGCGCCCTGGTAGAGTTTCAAAGCCCAGCTTCTATCGCCAGTCCGGCTGCCGTGGTGCGTAGAGATAAGCAAGGCATCGCACATACCCCGTCCGATCATGAGTTGGTGGAGCTACAGCAAGGGCGCCAACAGCCTGTCAATGGTGTATCATCGAATACTGCTACCGATGTGCAGACTTCTATCACCCCAGGTGAACTCGAAAGTCACTCAGCCTCTCCTGGCGAGAATGAGGCTTTCGGTCCGGCACCGACTTTCAGCAACCCATCCAAGACCAAATGGCGCTTCTTGAGTGCCTGTTTGATGAATCTCGCGCAGGGATTGAACGACAGCGCCCCTGGTGCTTTGATCCCTTACATGGAGAAAGACTACAGTATCGGTTATGCGGTCGTATCTCTGATCTTCGTTACTAATGCCCTTGGCTTCATACTCGCAGCCTTGATTACACATCCACTAGAAATGAAGCTTGGTCGCGCCAAGTGTTATGCTCTGTCCCTGAGCCTGTTAGTGGCCGGATTCGTGATCATCATCTGCAAACCTCCATTTCCCGCGGTCGTTGCAAGTTTCTTTCTTCTTGGCTTGGGGATGGCCGTCTGTCTGGCGCTGAACAATGTTTACTGCGCGAACCTCGCCAACAGTACCGCGGCTTTGGGTGGTCTTCATGGGTCCTATGGAGTCGGGGGCGTCGTGGGTCCGCTTGTGGCAACTGCTATGGCATCGCATGGAGTTCGTTGGTCTCTTTTCTACTGTATCAACCTCGCGCTGTCGTTGTTCAATCTGGCCTTTGCGGTATGGTCGTTTGCGAACTACGAGAAAGAGCTTCCAGCACAGCTTCTGGGCGCGTTACAGCAGACCGCATCCCGGCAAGCGAACGGCGGCGAGTCAAAAAGCCGGAGCCGTGTTCTCAAGCAAGTGGTCAAGGACAAGACCACCCTGCTTGGGGCTCTGTTCATCTTTGCCTATCAGGGCGCCGAGGTCTCAATCTCTGGATGGGTGGTGTCGTTCCTCATCAGCTATCGCCATGGAGACCCGTCCCACGTCGGTTATGTTAGTGCCGGCTTCTGGGCTGGGATTACTCTCGGTCGCTTCTTCTTGTCGCATCCTGCCCACTTTATCGGAGAAAAGCTTTCTGTCATTCTCCTTGTGATCGGATCCATCGCATTTCAGCTTATGACCTGGCTCATTCCCAACATCATCGGGGATGCCGTCGCTGTCGCGATCGTGGGTCTCCTCCTAGGCCCCGTTTACCCTTGCGCCACTGCGGTATTCAGCAAGCTGCTGCCCCGGTCGATGCAGACGTCGAGCTTGAGTTTCATTAGTGCGTTGGGAAGCAGCGGGGGTGCCGCCTCGCCCTTCTTTACGGGGTTGTTGGCACAAAATGCGGGCACTTACGTGCTGCATCCGATCTGCGTTGGATTGTATGGAGTGATGCTTGTGGCCTGGGCGTCTCTGCCGCGTATCGCAAAGAGGTCGGAGTGATTCCTCTTTCAAGGTTGTAATCCACCCCTATGCTTTACAAGGGCGTGTTGTGCTGCGACTTGAACTCTCGCAGTGGTGTTCTTGTTCGGTTTGTGAAGGCATTGGGCGGATGCATATTTTGCTTGGAGATGAAAGGAAATCACATCGGTCAAGGTGGAACGCGGGGTGGCAGATGACCTTTGCGATACAGTTGTGGAGTATCAGCAGAGCTGACGCAAGCAAGGGGAGCGACCTCTCCCGCCCGCAAAACCATTAGTGTAGTGTCATGAACCCGATTTACCCCTTCTTACTGTATAGCTGCTGAATCCGGTGGGATTAGCCTTCTCCGTAAGAAATGAGATCAATATATGCATGCTAAAGTATCCACAGGGGGTGGCTAGGACGTCGTGTGTGTGTGTTTTATTTCTTTGGGTAATGCGGGTGAGTGGAATAATAAGAAGAGTCGGAAGAATTATTGTATGGGTAGGAAGGTGGTGATCTTGTATAGATATGGGGGAAATGTCACGGCACGAGAAGGCAGGAAGGCAGGCGTGAGTGATGCCTTAGAATGCAAGGCAACAACATTGATCATGATTCCCTCAGGCGGTCAGAAACCAAACGAAATTCCTCTGCCCATACCTTTAATGTACGACTTGGTAGTCAAATGACCTTTTCAGTCCTGATCATACATGGGATCTTGAAACTTGAGAAGATGTGACATGCTGCCTATCAGTACTACGAAATAGGTAGTGGTAGCTAAGGTATACACAATCAGTAGCACTCGTTAGGTCGGAAAAAGCAAGAAAGCGAGAGACACGAGGGGAGTAAGTTAGTTAATCATCAGCACGGGGAGGCCGTCTTTCTCGGGACTCTCTGGACTCTCTGGACTTACTGGACTACTCCGTACTAGTCCGTCCATTCTGTCTCACTCAACCCGTGGTCCGTTTCCCGATTGACTGCATGGATTGATTGATGATTGATGATTGATGATTGATGATTGATGGATTGATGGATTGATTGATGGCCTTGACTGACTGATTGACTGACGACGGTTTTGCCAGACTCCCTACTCAATGAGCTCACCTGGACTTGGACTGGACTGGACTGGCTTGTTTCCATGAATTAACATTCCATCTCATCCACCATCAATCAATCATTCATGCTACAACTGCTACGACTATCCGTATGATATCTATCTCATCTTGTGCTTGTGTCTTCTACCTTCCCTGGTTTTTCTTAATTAAGTCCTTTGCATTTCTGTGCTCTTTTTCTTCCCTCCCCCTCCTTCCCTTCCTTCACCCCTGCAAATTGCAACTGTCAACAAAAGTAAGAGAGAGCCCCGCGATCGCCAACTCTTGTTATTGTTGTCGATTTTCTTTCCCTTCTTCCTTCTCTCTTCCATCCCTCGTCCCTCCGTCCCCACTTTCCTCCTTCCTTCCCTTTCCCCTCTCCTTCGCTCCCGTCATCTTTCCCTTCCCTTCTCTCTCGCCATCACTTTTTGAATTCCCCATCTCCCTCCCCCCCGCCCCTCCTCCCCCCCCCCTCCTCATCTCTCCTGGCTGCCTTCTAATCGCAGCAGGAGCCGTTCATAACCACCCTTCTCACGGGTTTCTTGTCGACCTCCCAATAGTTCTCCCCGGCTATTTCTACCTTCACCATGGACGGGGACGAGCTCATCGCCTCGGTCTACCGCAAGATCGAGCGGGAGAAGGCCCTCATCGCCGCCGCTTCGAACATGCGACAGTCGACCGACAATCCTCTCGTGCAGCAAAGGGTTGACGCCAACATTCGCGATGGGCAGAAGAATATTGCTTACCTCGAGGAGAAGATGCGGGAATTGCAGTTGCGCCAAGAACGAGGCCAGGCATCCCCGACCGATCGACGCATCCCCTCGGGTGACGGTGCACCTGTGCCACCGCAGAAGGATTACGGCAATGAGTATGGCGAAGGAGCCGGTCAATATCCGCAGGGAGGATCAGGGTCCATGCCGTCAGGTGCCCCATACGCAGACCCTCGCCCTTTCGCTCCCGTGCCCAAGGCTCGTCCCAATTACACAAAGCTCGGTAGGTATCTCACGTTCCCGATCGCCTGGATGCAAGCGGTCGAGAGCTACCTCCGGGGTGCGACTTGAAGCAAGGCTGACTTGATCATCTTCAGACTTGATCAAATATGACACTCAGTACCTGGGACCCAAGATCCAGCTCATGCTGTCCCAGCTGGAGTTCAAGCTGAGTGTAGAGAAGCAATACAAGGCCGGGATTGAGAAGATGGTTCGCTTGTATCAGGATGAGGGAGATCGCAAGAGTCGCGCCGATGCTGAAGGCCGGCGGATTGAGAGTAACCAGAAGATCCAGTTGCTGAAGCAGGCCCTGAAGCGATATGAGGATCTTCACGTCGACATCGAATCAGCAGACAGCCCTGATGGTCAGTCGCATAATCACCGACGCCGTCGTTCACCCTTGTTTCGTAGCTAACCCTTCGTTTCTGCCAGATGAGAGCCTAAGCACACCAAACCTGCGTAAGCCGCTCACAGGTCTGCTAACCATGCGCATCCATGCCGTGCAAGATGTAGATCATGCCACCAGCTCCCGATTCTCGCGCGGCCCGGAAACTTTTGTGGTTCTGAAGGTGGAGGATACCATTAAAGCGCGCACGAAGCCGACCCGGACAGATAGATGGCAGGATGAAACTTTCAACCTGGAGATTGACAAGGCCAACGAAATCGAACTCACCGTATATGATAAGTCTGGAGATCGGCCTACCCCGATCGGCATGCTGTGGGTGCGCATTTCGGACATTGCCGAGGAGATGCGTCGGAAAAAGATCGAGACGGAGTTCAATGCATCCGGATGGGTTTCTGCGGAAAAGATGGGGCATGGAGGACAGCCCGGACGGCCCGATACTGCAGGAGGAATGGGTTCATCTCATCAAGGTGGCCCCGGGGGTCCTGCAGGGCCGGGTGGTCAAGGTGGTGCGGCCGGCGCACCGGGTGCTGGCCAGGTCATCATTGATTCTTGGTTTGCGCTGGAACCAGTTGGGCGTATCCAGCTGTCCATGAGTTTCGGTGAGTTTCAATCCTCTCTCTTGCGCGACTGGCTATCGGACTGACACCATCCACAGCCAAGCAACTGAAAGACCGTCGCCCGTTCGATATTGGTCTCAATCGTCAAGGTGCTGTTCGCCAGAAGAAGGAGGAGGTCCACGAAAAGCAAGGTCACAAGTTCGTCACGCAGCAGTTCTACAATATCATGCGCTGCGCGCTTTGCGGCGATTTCCTGAAATATGCCGCCGGCATGCAGTGTGCCGACTGCAAGTACACCTGCCACAAGAAGTGCTATCCCAAGGTTGTCACCAAGTGTATCAGCAAAGCCAACTACGAGACGGACCCGGACGAAGAGAAGATCAACCACCGGATTCCGCATCGTTTCGAAGGTTTCTCCAACCTTTCAGCCAACTGGTGTTGCCATTGTGGATACTTGCTGCCTTTCGGACGCAAGAACGCAAAACGCTGTACAGGTAGGTGAACCCTCTAAAGCCCGAAAGTCTGGCAGGAACTGACATGCGATGCTTTACTACAGAGTGTGGTCTCACGAGTCACGCCCACTGTACTCATCTCGTGCCCGACTTCTGTGGCATGTCCATGGAAGCAGCTAACCAGATCTTGGAAACTCTTATTCGTGCAAAGGTTCATAATAAGTCTCCATCGGTTAGCTCTACCAGCCGCCTTAGCGACCGCACCTTGCGCGCTCCTCAGACTCCGCAGGACCATACATCCATGGCCTACCCGTCAAAGCCTGTCGAGCAGTACGAGCCAGCACGGCCCGCCGCTCGGGATGCTGTGAGCGCTGCGTCTATGTCATATAAGCCTCCGCAGTCTCCGACTACCCCTCAAGCATCTCAGACATCTCCCAGAACCTCGGCTTCGGCCGATCTCGCAAGCCATGCCGCCGCAGCTGCGGCAAATACTCGTCCTCCCCAGGCGATGCCAGGTATGTTCATTTCACAGGGTGAGGATCAACTTTCAAGCGGCAACTAACTCAATTTACCTCTAGAACCAAGCCGCCCTGTGCAGCCCCAGCCACCCCAGCATGCTCGCTATGATCCTTCGGCTTATCCCATGTTCGAAGGAGGCGTGCCACATCAGCAGATGCAGAATGTCGGTGCCCCTGGTCCGTATGGCGTTCAGCAGCAGCAGCAGCAGCCGCCGCCACCGCCACCGCAACAGAGTATGGCAGTGGCACAAAAGCAAGCACCTGAGGCGCCTCAGCAACAACCGAAGGTCAGAATCGGACTGGATCATTTCAACTTCCTGGCAGTTTTGGGTAAGGGTAACTTTGGTAAGGTCATGCTGGCGGAGACCAAGAGCACCAAGAAGCTTTATGCGATCAAGGTCCTGAAGAAGGAGTTCATCATCGAGAATGATGAAGTCGAAAGCACCAAGTCTGAAAAGCGGGTCTTCTTGATCGCCAACAAAGAGCGTCACCCCTTCCTCCTTAACCTCCACGCCTGTTTCCAGACCGAGACGCGCGTGTACTTCGTTATGGAATATATTAGTGGTGGTGATCTGATGCTCCACATTCAGCGCGGCCAGTTTGGTCTCAAGCGAGCACAGTAAGTGATTCCCGTCAATCAATCATACCTAGGATGCTGATTTTCGTGCGCGCAGGTTCTATGCTTCAGAGGTTTTGCTCGCGCTGAAGTATTTCCACGAGAATGGTGTCATCTATCGTGACTTGAAGCTTGATAACATCCTTTTGACTCTGGATGGTCATATCAAGATTGCGGATTACGGTCTGTGCAAGGAAAACATGTGGTATGGTGCAACGACCAGCACCTTCTGTGGTACGCCCGAATTTATGGCACCTGAGGTAAGATATTCTCGTCTTTGCTTCTCCTTGGATTGTGTCTAACAGTTTGGATCAGATTCTCCTGGACAAGAAGTACGGCCGTGCTGTCGATTGGTGGGCATTCGGTGTCCTGATCTACCAGATGCTTCTTCAGCAATCCCCCTTCCGTGGTGAGGATGAGGACGAAATCTACGACGCCATTCTCGCCGACGAGCCGCTGTATCCCATCCACATGCCCCGCGACTCGGTCTCTATCCTGCAAAAACTGCTTACTCGTGAGCCCGAGTTGAGATTGGGCTCGGGTCCCACCGATGCCCAAGAAGTCATGTCCCATGCATTCTTCAGGAACGTCAACTGGGATGATATCTACCACAAGCGTGTGCCACCACCCTTCATGCCCACCATCACCAGCCCGACAGATACCAGCAATTTCGATCAGGAATTCACTAGTGTGACTCCTGTCCTGACGCCTGTGCAGTCCGGTAAGGCACCAATCCATTATGCAAGGTCATTTCACAGCAGGCTAACACCTCTTCTTAGTCCTTTCTCAAGCTATGCAGGAAGAGTTCCGCGGCTTCTCCTACACTGCCGACTTCGCATAAACATTCTCCGCGTAACTTCTCGACCACCTGTGCTGATTGCGCGTTTGTCTTGTCTCTACTTTGGCCTGATGTGTTTCTCGGATTCTTGATGTTGCCGGTCTTTGGGCACCGTTTGCGCCGGTGTCTTTCACATACCCATAAGTGTTTTGAGTGCCAGTGTAAGCGTGGTGATAGCTTTTGTGAATGCAGATGGATTGATGGCTTTGACGGTGTTTTATTCTACGACATTACATTCTGTTTCTGCAACCCAAGGCCTTTGGTTGTCTTCTAATTTCTGTTTCTTTGTGGGCGTAATTGACGTGCTCGGAATATAACTCTGCTCCAGGGACTATCTCCTCTCATGACTATTGCAGTATATTTTGTGGCACGGTCACTCGAAGGATGCTGCGATTGTGTTAGAATGGTTTATGAGGATAGAAGCTGTGTTGCGCCGGTTGGACACAAGTATAATTTTACTCTACCTTCCTGTCTCTCAAGATAAGTGCAATTGGAGGCTTTGAGTAGTGCCTACTCGCTGCCGTTTGAGGGTTTTGACCTACCTCACCTGAGGTGAAACATGCCGTGTACAAACCACCTCTTTCGCAGGATGCTCTTTGTTCGGGCCATGCCTTCTCGAGGATGGAGCGAATGTATTCAGTTGTAGCCAGAAATAGGGTGGTGATCTCTCATTTGACTTTCACTTTGACCAGGGACAAGTCTTTGTTTTATCCTGAGCCATATCCAACCACCTTCCTCCCTCCCCCTACCCTCCATACTCGGTAACTTGTCCCTTCTTGCTTCTCCTCCTCCTCCTCCTCCTCCTCCTCCTCCTCCTCCTCCTCCTCCTCCTCCTCCTCCTCCTCCTCCTCCTCCCTTTGTCTTCCACCACTCACCCTTCTCAAGTCAGACAAAGGACAAGGACAGAAAAAAGAGGATAAACGGACTATTGATAACTGCCAAACACACAAAGAACAAGATGGCTTCTGACATCCACCGCAATTTATTGCCCTTCTCGCCGTCGCCTCCATGTCCACGTCTGACTCCAGATGACTCCCGACATACTTCGGACGAACTACGATCACCGCAAGTTGCTTCCAACGGCGCAGACGACGACAGGCTTGTTGCTTGTGTATTCTCTACTCCGGGGAATCAGTCAGAATCACCCCATCTTGCCACGAATACTGACGGTACGAACAAAGACGTGAGCTTCGAAGCGCCGACAGTAACACCTGCTACTTCTACTACTCCTAAGACCCAGGCCACCACCCCGAGCCCGACCCGACGCATCTACAACTTCCTCTGCTCAGCACTTACCGAGATGGCTCGAGCCAGAAAACGAGTCCAGGCCAAACCCACCAGGGCCAAGCAAGCGAAGAAGGACCCGGACTACGATCCATCCAAGGAGGACCACCGAGACGAAGAGGAGGAATACCGGTATGGCGCCAACCTGATGAAGATCGAGGCAGAACATCTGGGGAAATACCTGCACGAGACCATCTCCGGGCCCCGGCGAGGGAAGAAAGGCTTGGAATTGCAGATTCCCGTCAAGATTGAGGAACAGGATGAGGGGGCCACGTATCCTACTCCCCCTGCTGAGAAGAACACCACTTCATTGTCAATCCAGACGACCGTCAGCAAGAGGCCGCTGGATGCTGACGCCATCAGTCCTGTAATCAAGAGGCTCAAGCTGGAGGAATCGCACGAGTCGATCCTGTCCTCTCTGCAAGATACCCCAGCGCCGGAGTTGAGATCCGACTACCGCCACAATGCATTGACCGAGTCGGCGGCGGTAGGCAATCTGAGTACGCCGACGACGAATAGCTCTCGCGCGGGTTCACCGCTGCGAACTCAAAGTACCCAGGGTTCCTTGTCGCCGGAGCTGAGTCTAGGTGGTGACGGGGTTGATGTTGCTATGGATGATACGCCTTCGTCGCCTAACTTGAGCCCAGTTGCTCGGGTGGGCTTTGTTGTGGATGAAGAGCAGTCGCCAACTGTGGATCCAGGTAGTCTGGAGGACTTCGCCGTGGATGACAAGCGGCCCAAACCATCTCGATCTCGGCGCCAGTCGAGCGGCAAATCGCAGGGCAAATCGCGCAGGCGGACAAGAACTTACTCACCTTCGGCGGACGAGAGGTTTGATTCGCCTTCGGACAGTGAGAATGACGAGAGTCTTGATGAGTTCGAGATGCATCGCATCAAGCCCCACGAGAAGACGGGGATTGTGTTTGACTTTTCGTCTGAACGAGCTGCGCGCTGGGCAACGGCCATCAATCTGCCCGAAGGCCTGTACAATAGTGAAGAGCAGGACCTTTTCTTCCGGCTCGCTATGCGTGGCTTTGAGCCACTCGTTCCCCAGCTCTGGCGACACGACTTCCCGACGCTGCCGGAATCGTTGTATCCACCGACCTCGGGCCCTTCTTTCCGACCTCTGTTCCAGGTTCGCAGAAGCTCCAATCTGTATGGTAAGTGTTACTGCCGTTGAACTGTTTAGCTCTGAGTTTCTGATTGCATCCCCAGCCACCAAAGCCCTGGCCAACCTGTTCAATGTCGGGGGCCGCGTCCGGGACTGCGACATCTTGGGCCAACGACCCGAGAAAGTGATCAAGGCCGCCATCAAGCAGTACTTCCGCTGGGCGCTGTTCGACGCCGATCTGCACACCACTGACGACTCGATCCCCGTGTATGCGGTCTACGCGCAGAGGAAAGGCGAGACGACGCTCCAGGCCGTGCGGCGCCTCAACCGCCGCCTGCGCTATCTGACCGCGAAGTACCACGAGGCTCTCGGGCTGACCCAGGGGCCGACGCAGACCGAGGAGCCGGAGCCTCAGGAACAGATCCACGACTCCATCGAGACCCCGCGCAGCTTCCCGCTGCTCATGGGGTTCATCATCTGCGGTCCCATCGTCGCGATCGTGACGCACAGCACGGATCCCCAGGAGGCCGAGGCCAGCTTCGATGGCAAGTTCATCTCGCAGTTCGACCTGTCGGAGCGGGGTCAGGATGTGTGGAACTCGCTGGCGATTGCGATTGCGGTCATGCATACGCGGCGGACGATGATCGGGCTGGCGGAGAAGGGGCTGGGCGGGTTTACTTTCTTCGATACGGCGCAGCCGGCGTCGGATCCGGATCTGTAGTTTGCATTTGCTCTTCATGGTGTGCTGTTCAAGGGGTGGTTTGCGCTCTCAAGTGGTATCTTTTTGAGGGTTTCATCCTTCAATATGTTTTATTCCTGGTTTAGTGCTTTACCTGGGAGGGGAGATGGGTTGTCGTTTGATAGTTATTTCGACTGTATCTTTAGGGATATCTATCTTATTTGTTTCTGTTAACTAAGAAGTGTAGCTGGGGTGTAGCTGATATTCTATTTCAAGTACGTCTCCAAGATTTCCATTTCCGAGCGGTTAGGGTGCATAAAGCTTCATGGTATATATCCATACAGTGTTGATCCTCACTGACAGTCGAGCATAAGGATATCCCACCCCACATAAAAACCAATAGATACTAGTTCTCAAGATCTACTCAGATTCCATCAAAGATGACCATCAATTCCTAGTTGCAGAAAGTACTGTCTATGATAAAAGAGCAATCAATCCAGACCAGGTCACATGACCAGCAGCGGGCTTCCCCAGCGATTCCCCCCGCCGGTCTCCAACTACAACTACCACATTCGATCAACAACCGTACCGTACGCTCGTCATCCGAGAAACCCCAAGCCGGAAAATCGAGCTTCCAGCATGGACGCGGCCGAAGACCGCGAGGTCAAGCTCCAGCGCGCCTCGGGCGACCTCGTCAAGGAGTTCTCCGCCAAACTACCCTCCTTGCTGTGGAAGTGGAAGTCCGGCCCGAAGCACAGCGACAACAGCTGCTCCCGAGTCCGCGTTCCACGCCGCTGGACCCCGGCGGCCAAGACGGAGAGACTCGTTGCGTTGGTGAGTTTACGTCCCCACCATCTTTTGTATCTTCAGCTTTCCCCAAAGCCCAAAGCAATAGGCTATCTCAATCCGAGAGAGAGTTCTAACCAGTCAAAAAAAAGCTGGAACCCTTCCAAGAATGGCCCCAACTCCTGGACCCGCACCTGCAAACCCTCCTCCCGCCCCTGGTAGACGCCTTCCTGGCCTACCTGCTCAAGTATCGTGAGGAGTATGCTGGTGCTGGTGCTGCGGCTGCGCCGCGCGATTCTGCGGTGCATCAACACTCCGCGTACCCGCTACCCCGCGCGATCAGCCGCCTCCTCTACACCTTCTGCAAGGTGCGGGGCGTGAAAGTCATCAGCCGGTTCTTGAATAATGAGCCGAAGTATTTGGATCCGTTGTTGCGGGCGTTCATTGCTTGGGATGCAGCTGATCAAGATGAGGCGCGGCTGTGGGATGTTCCCCGGAGGATGGTGTGGGAGGAGCGCTATGTTATGCTGATTTGGCTGGCGCATTTGTTGCTGGCGCCGTTTGATTTGGTGTTTTTGTCGTCGGAGGATTTGGTTGTGCCGTTTGGGAATCTCCAGCAGGTGGGTGTGGGTGGGTTGGTGCCCAGTGGGGAGGGGGCAGGGCCAGAGCAAACACCCAGGCTGGCCAGGGCGCTGCTTTCGCTGGCGTTGGAGTATGTGAATGTGGCGGGGAAGGAGCGCGAGGCTGCCACGGTATTGTTGGCGCGATTGGTTCTTAGACGGGATATGCAGGCGTTGGGGCTTTTGGAGGCGCTGGTGAGGTGGGCTTTTGGGGTGTTGCTGCCTGCTGCTGCTGCTGCTGCTGCTGGTGGTGGAAGTACGGATTCTACGACTACTCCTACGTCGGTCTATACGTGTATCGGCGTGTTGTCGTTTCTGGCCCGCTTGGCCGCGTCCGCCCAGGTGGAGGACTTTGCCCCCTTGATCATGCCCGTCTTTCAGCAGACGCTGCGCATCGTGCAGGGCACCTCGGAGGTGTCGCAGGTCATTCGGTCGTCGGCGTCGGCGAGGAAGATTGTCATCAAGATCCTGCGCGCGCTGACGGTCATGGCGCTAGCAGCCGGCGAGCGGGCAAGCTGTGCACTGACCGAGGATGAGGTCTCGAGTATCCTGGAGGACTCCATTGATCACTTTCTCGTCTCGCTGGCGGATAAGGATACACCCGTTCGCTTTGCGGCCAGCAAGGCGCTGAGTATCATCACCCTCAAGCTGCACCCGGACATGGCGGCCGAGGTCATCGAGGCGGTCACCGGCTCGTTGGAAGAGAACATCCTGTATCAGAAGCCGGACGGCGCCATCGTGACCCCCCTCGAGGCCCGTCGCATCGGCATGAGCAGCCTCAAGCGCAACCTGAGCGCCGTGGACGCCCAACGATGGCAGGGCCTGGTCCTCACCCTGGGCCACCTGCTCTTCCGCCGCGCGCCCCCCACCACCCAGCTGCCCGCCGTGCTGCAGCCGTTGGTCTCGGGCTTGGACTTCGAGCAACGATCCTCGACGGGCAGCTCGGTGGGCACGGGCGTCCGCGACGCCGCGTGTTTCGGCATCTGGGCGCTGTCGCGGAAGTTCACCACCCAGGAGCTCCTCGATCTGACGACACAGACCACCATCAGTACTCCCAGTGCCCAGGGAGAGCAGAGCACCACCACCTTGCAGATGCTGGCGATCGAGTTGGTCTGCGCGGCCTGCGTGGACCCCTCGGGCAATATCCGGCGGGGCGCCTCGGCGGCCTTGCAGGAGCTGATCGGCCGTCATCCGAACACGATCGCGGAGGGCATCCCGCTGGTCCAGGTGGTGGACTATCATGCGGTCGCGCGACGCTCGAGGGCGATGAATGAGATCGCGGGCGCCACGGCCGCGCTGAGCCATCACTACTGGAGTCCGCTGGTGGAGGCGTTGATGCAGTGGCGTGGAATCGGCTCGCCGGACGCCGAGTCGAGACGGCAAGCGGCGCGGGCTATTGGAGGGTTGAGCGCCCAGGGCTCCTACCGGACGATGCAGCAGGTGCTGGAGCGGTTGCTCGAGCGACTCCAGGGGATTCCGCACGGTGAGGTGGAGACGAGACACGGTTGTTTCCTGGCCATGGCCGCTACGGTCGATGCGTTCCACGACCAGCGGGCGAAGACGAAGACAGGAAGTGAAGCGGTGGCCGTCGCCGGTCTGTTGGGTCGGGTCTGGGGCGTTTTCGACTCGCCCCTCGGACCGACGAGGGATGACCTGACGCTGCAGAGCTGGCGGCCCGAGCTGACTGCCGAAGCATCGGCGTGTCTAATCTACTCGCTCTCGCGAGCGACGTCCTCAGAAGCCGAGCCACCGTCTGCGATCGTCTTGGACAAGGCTCGCGAGGTGCTTCTGCTGTGCATTTCACGGAGCGAGGATATCTCGATCGAGACATCCTCGCAAGCGGTCTCGGAGCTGTGGCCTCTGCTGTCGTTGGAGACGCAGCGGGAGACCCTGGAGGCGTGGTTCTCGCATCTCAGCACCACCTGGAACCTGCCCACCGGCCGCGGTCAGATCGCTGCGTTGGGGGCGGTGTTCAGACGGCTGCCGCCGGACAGTCCCCTACGGGAATCGGTGATCGAGAGTTTGGTCCGGTGTGCGGAGAAGGAGGAGTTGATCGAGAAGCGGGTCTCGGCTGTGAAGAGTCTGACCGGCGGTGTTCTGCCGCATGTTGGTATGTTTGTGGATGCGAGTGTGGGGGTGGGCGAGTGTAGGGATATGAGTTTGTAGGTGAGCTGCTGACATTTTCGTCACTGTAGACATCACGGATAGTCTGGTGAACCACCTGGTCAGACTCTTGAACGACTACACCACCGACCGCCGCGGCGACGTGGGCTCCCTGGTCCGCCTCGAGGCCATCCAGGCCGCGGCGATCATCCTCCCCAAAGGTTCTGGCAATAGTCGCGATCGATTTCGGGATATTGTAGGCTGTCTCTGCCGCCTCGCGGCCGAGAAATTGGACAAGGTCCGCATCGCGGCCTGGCTTTGTCTGCAGAGTTTCTGGGAGACGGCCGAGGATTTTCCCCCGCTGCTGAAGTACGTCCCTTCCTTCCCTCGTGTGTGGAGATGATAGATTTGTTTCTGACTGGGGGTGATGACAGTAAATACGACCACTTCAGCCACGTCTCGACGGCGGAATACTTCCTCCAGCTCCTGAGTCTCCAGAAGATCCCCTGGCTGCGGATCCCCCTGTTCCAGGGCCTGGCGACCTCCGCGGTGGCAGGGAGTGAGGGACTCATCCGTGCTAGTCGGGCAGCGCTGGTCAGGAGTTACTGTCTGCAGCAGCAGGGATACCTTCTCGCCCTCCTCACCGACCTCAGCAGGATTCTGGCGACGAATCTCCAGGACGACCGCTACGCGATCCCCATGATGGACTTTGTGGGGTTTATTCTCGATGGTTTCGAGTTTCGGGATTTGGGAGATGTAGAGGGTGTGGCATTGAGGTATGTTCCCCTCCCTCCGTTTTACAAATGCGGTCCACAGTGTAAGAAAGTGTAGCATGAACACGCCCCCACTAACGTTCTGCGACTGCGGTTGCGTTATTATGAACAGGGACGTCATGAAGGATCTCTTCGTGCTCATCCAAAAAGCCCACTTCAAATCCCCCAATCTGGCCCGTCTGGAGGCCGCGGTCAGAGTCTATGCGCCGCTGGCGAGGGTTGCTGGGGATTTTTCCGGGCTTGTACCTGTACCTGTGCCTGCGGCGGCGGGGGCGGGAGCGGCGACGTTGCAGAAGGATGTTCGTAAGAAGATGACGGGGTTGCTTTTGCATCCTTTTCCAAGGGTATGTTTCTCCCCTTTTGTTTTTGGTCTTTTGGGGATTTTTGGAGGGGGTGTTTGTGGTGAATGGCTTGGGGTCTTAGAGGGCCTGGGACCTGGGGCTACCGGGCTACCCAGGGGTGGTTTAAGTACTTTCTTTTAACGCACCATACTAACTTTATTCTTTCGTTTCGGGCAGGTCCGTTCCCTCACGGCGGAGTATCTGTTCATGGAGACCGGGGCGGAGGTGGTCAAGGTGGAGGATTGGACGCGGCCGAATCGCGAGTTGAAGGGAGTGGTCGAGGTGGTGAGGGGGGTTGTTTTGTGAATACTTAGATCCTTCCGGGTTCCAGGTGTAAATTAAGTGTTGGTTGATGATGAGGTTACACCCTTTCAGCGGGTTGTTTAACATGAGGACTTTTCCCTATTTTACTTTGCTGCTGTTGCTGTTGCTGTTATGCATGTCTTTGGTCAGGGTAGTAGTGTAAGTTAGTGGGTTTATTGCTGCCGTATGCTTTGTATGACCGTAGTTATAAGAATAGGGATTGTGGTTACGCCAGGGTTATGGTAAGGGCTATGGTAAGATTAGTGGTTGATAAGAGCTGCGTCACACTCATACATTACAGGGAGTAATCCAGGGAAGATGCTGTATTCCATCCTCATGTCCATCGCCGAAGATGCGAATTATACTTCCGTTGGACGAGCTCGAGGAGGAGGTTGAGCTCGAGGAGGGAGAGGAACCGGAAAGAAAGCCCTCAATGCAGAGCCCTCAATGCAGGAGTTCTGGATTAGTCCCAGAGAATAATTCATAAACCCCACACACAACACAAAACTACACTACATTACAAAGCCTGGTACCACAGTCACGACTGACTACTGTACCTTCCAACTTCAAATCCAAGCTTCAAGCTTCGAACGACTCTTGCCCTAGCTGGGGTGAGTCCTTATGACGTCCCACTGGTATGTACAGTACGGTATTATCTAACCCACAATCCCGATAACCAATCCCTATAGCTAGGCTGAATAGGAAAGCAAGTATCCCACCGTTTGTCTACATAGAAGAACTGATTTACTTAGGGTAGGATAGCAGGGGGAGGAATGGTAATTGTATTGAACCCTGGAAGATATTCATATTCCAATGTCAACGTCAAGATAAGATGAGATAAGGGAAGGTAAGATAAGATGTACGGAATATTCGGATACAGGGCGCGATGATGCGCGTGAAATAAAAAGGATGAAATGGGATGGAATGGGATGGGGTAGAGGACAAAGGAGATCGATGGGTTCTTGGTTGGGTGGGTTGTAGGTTGTGGGTAGGTCAAGGTCAAGTGTGTTGTACATTTGTGAGATGGATTTGGGAGTTTGCGGTGGAATGGATAGAGTTGGACGAGGACGAGACGATAAGATAGAGGCTTGGAGTTGGTTCATCTATGCAACTGGCTGATATGCAAGCAAAAATGTCATCACTACCTAAGGCAGACACTAGTCGTCCATTTCATCATCCAAATCAATCGCGTCCGGGTTGACGGGCGCCGCGACAGCACCAACAGGTTGCGGCTGTGCCGGCCGGTTGCCTCCCTCCGGTCCGCTGCTGGCCGCCACAAAGCCCACGGGGGCCCGCGCCTGTCTCTCCAGCGCGGCCATGGCGTCGGCGTGTTCGGCCGCCGCGGCCGAGTCTTCGTCTCCGTCGCCGTCCTCGAGGGGCTTGTCCCCGGCTTGCGTGCGTTGTTGGCTGCGGGCGATGGCCTGGGAGGCGATGAAGTTGACGTCGGTGCTGGTACAGTTAGCTACATGATTCACCAGAAAGAGGAGCAGGGAAACATACTTATACTGCGCTTGGACACTGCGCTTGATCCGCAACATCTCCTTGAAGGTATCCTCGTTGCCGTGCTGCACCTCGAAGGCCTCCCATTTCTGCCAGAAGCCGGCATTGGTCCGCGGATCGCAGAACTGCGAGGCATGCCCGTAGATGGCGCGCGCCCGGTCGATCTCGCCCAGGCGGCGCTCCATCTCCGCGAACTTGAGACACATCTCCTTGGCTTCTTGGTCCGGCAGGGCGGCAATGGCGCGCTCGTAGATGGGCCGCGTGGACGTCAGGCCGAAGTTGGAGGCCGACTTGGTGATGTAGAACTCGAACATCTCGAAGCGGTCCTCGTCCGACACCGCGCGCGTCGCCCGCTCGTAGATCCGCATCGCGTGGCGGGCCAACCCGCGCTCCTCCTCCAGGTTGCCGTACATCAGATACAGCGGCTTGGCGAACTTGGGCGGGCAGCCGTCCAGGGCCTGCTCGAAGAGGTCGCGCAGTCGCTCGATGCCAATCTTGCGGTCGACCGCCTTGGTCAGGTACAAATTCCACAGTTCGAAGGCCACGGGGTAGCTAAACAGATCCAGGCCGCGCTCGTAGACCTTGAACGAGTCCTCGAAGTATTTGTGCTCCTCCAGCAGGTTGGCGTAATTGACCACCGTCTGAGGCGTAGCGATGCGGAGCTCGAAGATGCGCTCGTACACCGCTTTCGTCTCCTCAATCGTGGACACACTCTCCACCAGATCGACGTAGAAACTCCACAGCTTCCAGCTCTTGTGCACCCGTTGTTGGGGCGAGAGCGTCTCGTCGAAATAGTCCACCGTCGAGCGCTTGGGCGCCTGGGTTGCCTTGGCCATGATCTCGACCGCCTTGTCGAAGTTCTCACTCCGAAGCTCCATCTCCGCCCATTCGCACCACGTCTCGGCCAGCTCCGCCACGGATTTGAACGGAACCTTGACGGCCTTCTCCATGATGACCCGTGCGGTATCCAGATCGCCGCCGTTTTCGTAGAACTTGGCGTAGTTGACCCAGAGCTCCGAGAACTTCCCGTGGGCCTTCTTCGGGTTGATCGCGGCAATCGCTGCGGTGTAGGTCTGTACGATTTCGTGCTTGTTGTCGCCCCAGAGCGCGACGCGCTTCTCCCATTCGATGACGTTGTTGGGGTCCTGTCGCAGAAGCACATCGTTGACGAGGAATGGTCGTCGATCCATCAGCTGTTCAAACCGCAGCATGCGCAGATCGAGGTCGAAATCGGCCTCCTCGTCGCTCTGGCCGTTATCCGTGCGCGCCGCCGCCGACTCCATCAGACTCCCGATGATGGATTCCTCGAACTCCACGTACGCATCGAAGACCAGAGTGAAGTCGCGGACCGTCATGACGGTAGTGATACCCTCCTCAAAGACGTCTCTCGCCTTTTCGAAATTGCCGCGTGTGATCCAGTAGGTCGCCAGGCCCGCCCACAGCTTACCTCTCTGATCCGCAAAACGGTCGATTCCGCTGCGCAGGATGGCGTCCACATCGATCCCGACCCGGGGGCCGGTCTCGATCTGTTTCGCCTTGGAGACCAGCAGGTCCACCATCTCGGTCCATAGCTGGAAGTTGCTCTTCCCCTCCTTGGACTGGAAGCGCGAGTCATCGAGAATCTGCATGTATTTCTTGACGGCCTCGGTGTAGTGGCCCATGTCGACCAGCAGGGCGATGTACTCTTCGGCGTTCTCCGGGTGGATCTGCATGTAGCGCGCCCAGATCTTCACGGCCGTGAGGCCCGACGCGGACCGCGCGAATGTCTTGTAGATCCGCCAGATGCGGTTGTGTTGGGTGATGGGGAGGGCGCGGAGGGCGCGGTCGAAGGTGCGTCGCGTCTGCGTCACCAATGGCTGCTGCAGAAGGAACGAGAGATACAGCTCCCAGATGCGCGGCATCTTGTTGAGCAGGATGAGGGCCCGCTCGAAGAGCGCGTTCACCTTCTGGTACTCGGCCTTGTAGACTGTCGCATTGCGGCCTCGGAGGTGGTTCGTCCGGAACTCGAGATACTTGGGGGTGTCAGTTCAGCGTTGATCATCGGTTGAAAAAGGAATCCATACCAGTTTCCACAACTTGTATGACCTCGGCAGTTCTCTGCACGCGCGTTCCATCACCTGCGATCATCATCAGTTTCTGTCCCAAACGACACTTTATGCCCGATTCTGAGAATACATACAAACGCCTGCTCATACAGCGTTCCATTTTGTTGCTTGTACTCGATATAAGAGAGCCATGGCTTGACGCTGCCGGGATTGCGCAGAAGATCCTGCTCGTACACAGTATCCTGATCGGCCTTCACGCAGAAATTAGTTTCAGCCCTCATCCACCTCAAGAAGCCCTCCCCTCGACTTTCCACTTACAATCAGGTAGAAGTCCGGCCCGGAGGCCGAGGAGCGGTCCATCTGTGCGTGTTGCCGGTGGGATCTCGGGGGCAGGATTGTCCCTGGCATTGCGCCACTCAAACTGAGCGGGACCAACTCACACGGAAATCAACGCAGTAGCACCTGGCGAGGTGAGTGTCGCATATGCAGATAATCACAAAAAATAAAAAAAGCCCTCGTCGCTGCTTGAAGGGAGAGGAGGGGTTTTGGATATGCGGTTTCCAAGCTTGCGGGCGATGGAGGTCGCAAGCAGGGCACGTGACCGGGTGTCATGCGCCCCGGCGGGCACGGGTTGGTCCGAGCTCTGGGACATTTGTTGCTGCGGATTGACTTATCAGTTAATCGTCATGGCTTGAGCCGCTGTCCCTATCGGTGCATTCCTCCTCCTTCTCTACGCTATCCGTGGCCTTTGTCTTCTCTTGTTTCTTCCCTCAGTACTCTCAATCATGTCGGGTGCGGTGGTATGTGATTTCTTTGCTTCAGTCTTACTATCAAGCTTGGTCACTCATGTTGCTTTTACATAGGGCCGTGAGGCAGTCTTCCCGACTCGCCAGTCCCTCGGATTGATGAAGGGGAAATTGAAGGGCGCCGAGACCGGTCACAGCTTACTGAAGCGCAAATCCGAAGCTCTTACCAAGTGAGTCTTCCTCCTTTTTGCTTATGATCAGGAAATTCTTCGAAAGGAACTGACTTTGTATACTCTTGTCCATAGACGTTTCCGCGGTATGATCGCTTGTCCCCCACTCCCCCTCCCCATCCCGCTCCCCCGGGGGAATTCCCCTTTCCAACCCCCCTTACCTAAAGAGCTCCATTATATCCGCGCGACTTCCGCCTCAGTTTGATGCGAAACTCCCCCCACTAACGAACGCCTCAGAAATCACCCGCCGCATCGATGAAGCCAAGCAGAAGATGGGCCGCGTGATGCAGATCGCCGCCTTCTCGCTGGCGGAGGTGAGCTACGCCGTGGGCGGCGACATCGGCTACCAGGTGCAGGAGTCGGCCAAGCAGGCGCGGTTCCGCGTGCGCGCTAAGCAGGAGAACGTGTCCGGCGTGCTGCTGCCGCACTTCGAGAGCTACACCGAGGACTCGATCAACGACTTCGGGCTGACGGGGTTGGGTAAAGGTGGGCAGCAGGTCCAGCGGTGCCGGGAGACGTACGCGCGGGCCGTGGAGACGTTGGTGGAGTTGGCGAGTTTACAGGTATGTTTCTTGGCTTGAGGCTTGAGGCTCGAGGCAAGATGGGGGGGGGTTGTGATTTGCTGATGTGTGATTTGTGGGTGTCATAGACTGCGTTTGTGATTTTGGATGAGGTGATTAAGGTGGTTAATCGCAGAGGTATGTTTCCCAGGAAAGAGTATTGGGGGTGAGGGGGTTATGCTAATACGGATGTTAACGACTGCTAGTGAATGCTATGTAAGATTGCATTATGCTGTGTTGGAAAGCCGGTAAAGGATGCTAACCATAGCTGCAGTGAGCACGTTATCATCCCCCGCACGGAGAACACGATCAAGTGTCAGTGACAACCTTTGGCTCTTCTTCTGGTGACGATAAAAAAGCTAATATATCCCTAGATATCAACTCCGAACTCGACGAACTCGACAGAGAGGAGTTCTACCGTCTCAAGAAGGTCTCCGGCAAGAAACAGCGAGACACCGCTGCCGCCGACGCCGAGATCCTGGCTGCGCGGGAGAAGGCCAAGGCCAAGGCGGAGGCTGCCGCCGCTTCCGCCGCCGCCGCTGCAGCCAACGGAGAGGAAGCGCCCGCCGAGGAGGTAGAAGAAGAGAAAGCGGCCGCAGAAGAAGAAGAGGCCCCCGAAGCACCGGACGTGCTCGGCGAGCAGGAAGATGCCGACGTGATTTTCTAAGTCTAGCGCAGCGATGCCCCCTCTTTGTCCCTGTTATGTAACTAGTATACTTCCGAGCATGTAGCTGTTATTGTCTTCACTTGAGAATTTGTGTTTTTTTTAGTCATATCCCCAATGGAAGCAAAGATGAGCATTGGCATAAGCAGATGATGATGATGATGATGATGCAAGACAAGAACCCATGAACCCCCCGCAAAACGCCAACAGACATGAAACCACCAACAACCACCCACTCATTGTCTCTGGTACGTGACCCGGATGGGTTTCCCGGTCTCGCCCATCGGCATCCCCGACGTCGCCTCCTTGGCACTGATGGCGCCGGACTCGTTCTCGTACTCGACGAAGGCGATCCCCTTGCGGCCGGGCACCAACCGCACCTCCTGGAAGCCCTCGAACCGCGCAAACACGGCGGTGAGGCTGTCCTGGTCGGCGGTGTCCGGCAGGTCCCGCAGGAACAGGATTTTGTTGGGCGGCAGGTACTCGTCCGGGATGACGGTCGCGGCGGCGCCGCTGGTGGGCTTGAGGCCGGCGCCCTTGGCCGCCTTGGCCGGCCGGCCGGAGGGTTCGTTGGGCGCCACCACCGCGCCGGGGGGACGTTTGAGTTTCTTTTGCGCTTCGAGAGCCTCGTGCGCTTGTTTGCGCTCTGCCAGACCACAGTATTAGCATTACATCAGCCCCAAGCAGTAGCCCTCGGCTTTAACGCCCCAAGTAAAACCCCCATAGCGGCCCCCTCCCCCAAGAAAGAAAGAAAGAAAGAAAGAAAGAAAGAAAAACAAACCTTTCTCCGCCCCGCGCCGCCGCTTATGCGCCTCGAGCTCCTCCTCGCCGCCCTCGCGCAGCACGGTCGCGTCGCTGCGCGTGCGCGCGTAGTCCAGCACCATGGGCTTGTCGAACAGCTCGAAGCCGTTGATCTCGTCAATGGCGCGGCCGGCCGCCTCGACCGAGTCGAAGACCACGAACGCCTGGCCCTTGGCCTTCAGGTTGGTCTTGGCCACGATCTCAATCACATTGCCGTATTCCGAGAAGATCTCCTCGAGGGATTCCTTCAGTTGGTCGATCTTGATGCGTTCTTCGAGGTTGCGGACCTTTTTCGCGGTGTTAGTGGGGTTGAGGGGGGTGGGGGTTGGGGGGTGGGTTGGGCGTACGTAGACTCTGTGGGTTGCGTTAGCTTTGACACTCTTGTTGGGTTGGGGGTAGAGGGGTAAAGAATAGGTAGGGTATCATGAGGAGAGTGTTGAGTCTGCGGATGTGGACTCAGGCGGAGATAAACTTACGTGCAGTTGGGAGGAGTGGTTGTTGCGGGCGCTGCGACAGCGGCCATTTTGTGTTGCTGGTGCACCTGGGGTGCCTTTCGGATTGGTTGAGTAGGTGGAAAGAAATTGAGGGGGATATGGCGTCGAGATCAACGGGAAATGCGCGCGGTGATGGTGAGGTGCAGATGATGGAGCTTCCGTTCTGTAAACTTGCGTAGCGGCCGGCGGAGGAGGAGCAGGCTGTCCGAGAGGAAGCGGTGCCGCTTTAGTGGACAGTCGGGAGCTTGCGGTCAGGTCAGGTGATCTGACTCTAGATCCGCGGGTGGGTTTGCTTAAGTATACCACAACTCGACTGCCACTACAACTCATACGAGCACCACAAATAACAATGGCTAGAGATTAAGTTCTGTCGCTAGGCGATGCGCTCCTGAGGATGGGATCTGAAGTTGAGAGACTTGGTTCTTCTCCTCGAACTGGTATACAGTACTTCCCGACCTAGCGTCTACTGAGTATACTATGGAACGCTTTAGCTCTCTCTGATATAACATTCTGGGAACCGCTGGCTTGACCGGATTTCCTCGTCACTTCTGAGGAGAACCTGAGAATATATATTACTATTCAAAGTTTTCATTCAATATACCAGGCAGCACAGCACGTCTGTTTGACACTGTGTTGCAGCGAGATGACTCCACTTAGTAGAATGACAATTACATGAACTGCAGTACAGTACATCCCTCTTCCAAGGCCCCAGAGAGAGAACACCAACCACGTAGTAGTATACCCTCTGAATGTCGGAAACCATGGGAGCCGGAAACTAGCTTGATATAACATCACAACACAAAACCTTTACTGGCTACGTCATCTACTTTTAATACGTGATCAAGGAGACCCGAAGGGCTGGCTCTTCTCGGGTGTGTATAAAGCGGGACGTATTTAGTCAATCATTCGAATGAGAGATACAATTTTGTGTTGCAGATACTGTGTTGTCTATTAAGTTCCACAATGCCAGATAAGCGTTGTGACCAGTGTACTGTTTGGATAGTGACAAGTATCGCGCTTCTCTGTGCTCTTGCGGGAGCCCTATTGTCCGGCTTTGGAACGTTGGATAGAGATGCTCATGCTAGCCAACTTGGAATGGCGATAGCTGGGGTTGTATTGACAGCAGTTGGCGTTGTCCTTGTTTCTACCACAGGCTTTTGATGGTATGGGCACCTGCAGCAGTCAATCACGTGGAGATTTCTGACATATGTATGGCTTTCTAAGCGACAAGGAAGAACCACGCTCGCGGGAAGCAGTGTGCTATATTTGTTATCTAGGTAGCGTACCTCCGGGAATAACAATCTGTGAGTGCATGCGGGAGAGAATCTGATTTCGAATTCGGCTGTAGCCTATTCTCCCATATATGGCAGGCAGGAGGAAGGGGGCGGTTGTTGAGATGGAGAGTGAAGCTAGGCGATGATTTGATCATTTCATTGCTTGTAGTTTGGGTTGTATCATGCTAGTCAGCTTATGCTATTCCAGTTTCACTTGAAGAATATAAATGTAGACTACCCACTCGTTCCCAAGGCTTTTTGGACAGTATGGGAAATACAGGACGATAGTTGGTTACGGTATATGATCTGTGCAATTGTCCAGGCACAGCGCGGGTCATATGTGTACAGTAGCAGGTGAACTGCATGCATCCACCGAACACACAGCTTCAACAGAATTATAGCTATTAGCGGGGGGTGAAGATCGATTATTTTTACAAGAGTATGCACACCACAGATAAGAACCACAACCACTGCCAATACCGGTTACACATCGCGTCGCGTCCCCAGACGACCTGGATGAGAATCTACCAACCACAGAAAATACACCCACGCTTATGGAAATGCCCGAAGCTATATACATATCCATAACCCCAAGCCAGGCTGCAGTGGAACACAAGTCAAATCAACTGCCGGTCTGGATTAGTTTGTTCCCCTCAAGATGAAGGAAAGAGGTCTACAGCACGTCTGCAGTCTGTCTAGAGGCATGGTCTAAAATTATAAGCAGCGATGGTGCTTGACGTTACCGTTCTAATCGGCCTTTTTGCCCTTGTCGACGGGCAAGGGAGTCACGCTGGGAGTTTCGGCTTCGGGCTCTTCAGCGCTGGTTGCAACATCAGCAGCCTCGGGCTCTTCGTTGGCGACGGCGACTTCCGCCTCGGGCTCGACTTTCGTCTCTGGTGCGGGCGATGGCACCGCCGAGACAGGCGCCGACGCGGCGACCTTCGTTTCATCCAGCGGAGGGAAGATCTCCTGGAACAGGTCCGGCAGGAACCGATCGAGGCGCTTCTTGGTCTCGGTCCAGATCTTTTCTCTGGTTGCGTCCTGGGACGGCGACACGAGGTATCCGCCGTCGGCCATGACCAGTAGAATATTCTTGAGACTCTCGGGGATGGCTTCTTGCTGTGGGGTTGTTAGTCTTGTTTCCGTGATTCCCAGAGGGGAAAAAAAAACATACCAAACTATCGCCCTGGCCGCTATTCATCATCCGATCCAGAATATCTAAAATCCGCAGCCAGAGGTCGAGCATCCCGTCCCAGTTGGGAAGCTGGTCCAGATACCGCAGGAAGATCTTGCACACCAGCGTGGCCACCTGCACGCGCGTCTCGCCCATCCCCACGGGGTCCGAGTGGTAGACTTCGGGTTTCAGGAGGCGGAGGATCAGAGGGAAGAGTACCTGGTCGAAGATCGCGGTCCATTCCTTCTCATCGGTGGCGCTGATCTGGAGAGAAAGGAGGGTTCGTTGCAATGTCGAAACGGCGTGGTGACGGATGTCTCGGCAGGGGTTGATGCATTGGGCCGTGAGAGACTGGAAAATCGGAGACCAGTAGGCTGACCAGGCTGTTTTGCGTCAATTAGTGTTTTCGACTGGCTGAGCTGGCTACATACCTTCGTTCTCTTCGAGGTGCGATTGCTTGATCAGCGCCGGGATGCGGTGTGTCAAATGGAAGACAAAGTTGATGGCCTTGACTCCCCTCGCAACCACCTCGTTCTCGGTGCTAGATCTCGGATGCTTGACAGCCTTGCGTCGGCCGTGTGCATCCCTCTGTCGCTCTTCAATGTAGCCCACACTGCCAGCGCTGATGAAGTCGTTCGCCAGGCCAACAGCAGACTCGTAGTTATCAGCCGTGACAATCGGTGGGTTCGATTCCACAATGGACTGTAGCAGGCTGAACACCAGCGGAGCCGCTTCCTGGTGCTGGTGCAGCCTCTGCAAAATGGACCAGAAGTCCGGCGAGGCGGAGACCTCATTCCGCAGAGCCTCTGCATCAGACATGCATCGTGATAGGCTCTTGACTACAGGAATGGCAATGCTTTCAAGAATGTCCTGGTCAAAGCCAGAAATCCCATGGAGAATCACCGGCACACGCATATAAGGCTGGTCCTATCGTCCGTCAGACTTGTATGATGAATGCTAGCAGAGGGGGCCATACATAGCTCAAGCGCAGCAAGTTCATGAGGTAGTAAATGATCCGTGACAGCGCCAAGGAGTGGATGTTCCGGGCATCGCGGACAAAAGCTTGCAGAGAGGTCAAAAGTCTTTCGCCAAGGCTTTCCATTGTCTTGCAATCCCGCAGAGTGAGGACGGTGGCCAATTCCAAGAGGTAGAGCATGCCCGGATCGTACTTCGGCTTACTGGCATTGACTCTGCCGTTAGCCGCCCTCGGTCCAGCTGCCGGACGCTCTGACTTAACAACGATAACGGCCGGGGCGCTTTCTTCCGGGAGTTGGTCCAAAAGGGCTTCCACCAGCATCGTCACCGTCTCCAAGGGAAGGGTCCTGAAACGTTAGTACACAACAACCACAAACGGATGCATTTGACTCACTTGATGTTGGTCAGAATCTCACCGATGGAGCAAGCTGAGATGCAGTCAACCGTACACAATGTGTTATCCAGCTCCTCATCCGACGGCTCGGGAGGCTCATCCGCTGCGTAGCTGGATAGATATGAGGTGAATGCAGACAGCAGGCCCGTCTCAGCACCTCGGCCGTCGCGCTCCACGACTTGCGAGGGGTTCTGCAGCGGAATCGGAGACAGCTCGAGCTCCGCGTTGAGACTAGAACTGAAGGGGGAAATAAGAGCGTTGATGAAAAGATTGTTAAGAATGCGGATTACATGGGTCCAGCCCTCTTGAACCGTAGCCTCATTGCCCGCGAGAACTCGGAAGAGGACCACCGCGGCCAACTGAGCTCGGAAGTCGCGTCCAAATTTGACGGCCAATTCGCTGACCATCACACTCTTCTCTCCAGCCTGCACCTCTGTGTTGAGGGCGGTGCTGGGAGGATTCTCCGTGGCTAGAGTGCTGATCGAAGCCAAACAGAAGACAATGCGGTCAAAGGCAGCCGTCAGACCATAGCGGGCAGCGATCTGTGCACACTGGTCGAAGCCCGTCACTACGCGAGAATAGACGGCATCGTCCGAGGCGGACATGAAGACGTACGACAGAGTCGCAATCACGGGTCTCCAAGTAGCTTCGAACATCTCCGCATCATAGATATTCGTCTCGCCCACCACAAGCTCGCCTGCCGAAGAGGACTTCAGCAGTAGCTCCCGCCATGCATAGTCGAATGCATGCTGGTTATCATGCTCCTCAGGCAAAATAATCTCATTCTGCTTAATAGAATCATAGACGCCTTGCAGGAACTCGGGCGCAAAGTCCTGGCCTGCGTTGACACCCCGCAGGTTTCGAGAGAAATCCGTACAGGACATGCGATTCTGCGATCTGATATTGGAATTGTATAAATCGGTGTTCAGCATAATGATACCATAAGTCAACACGAAGAGAGCATCCTTGTCCGCAATTTCGGTGGGCTGAGCCTTTTGCATGTACTTGTCTGTAAAGGTGGTAACGATACGCTCGATCAGCGGCGATTCACCAGGCAGGCGGAACGCACCCAGGAGATCGCGAAGGGCGTCGACCACACTCTGGCCAGAGAAATCAAAAAGATCGACGAAGGCATCGAGCAGCTTTTCGTTCGAACGTTTGGAGATGAATTCGCCCAGAACCTTCTTTGACAATCGAGTGGTCCCTTTCAAGAAACGAGCGATGAGAACCGGATCGTCGGGATTTTCGATAATCCCCTGAGAGGCTAGGTAGGCGATTCCCGCCTTGGGGTCCTCGTTGAATTTCTGAGCTCCTTTGATAA